AACAAGGGACCGGGAGGGAAGTGTAGAGTGATTGAGAGATTAATTGGGAGGAATGAATAACTGTTTGAGCAGATGACATACTGGATGGGATTGATTGATGAGTGAGCAACTGGAGGTGTGCGTAGTTAAAGAAGTGAGTGACAGGATGTCCATGCAGGTGAGAGTGGAACACAGGGTTTGGCTGTGAGTGACTGAGGGGCGGATGTGTGAGTGAGAGGAATGGGAGGGATTGGTAACTGGCTGAATGATGGCATAACTGGAAGGAGAGAATGGCTTGGTGAACCAGGGGGGTGTGTGAATGAGTGAGCGAGAGGGTAGAGTGATGCGTTAGTGAGTGAAAGGGAGGGTGAGTGTGTGAGTGTGCAACTGGCAGGATGGCTGAGTGAATGAGTGGGAGGGCTAGGTGAGTGGGTGAGGGAATGAGTGACTGGGAAAGGTGGCTGACTCTGTAGGTAAGTGAGCCATCAAATGTAAGGTGCTGGGTGGCTTTGTGGGTGTACACGTGAGTGATAGATAACAGTGTAGGTGAGCAGGCAACTGAGATTGCTGAGAGATTAGTTGGAAAAGCAATTGACAGGCAGGTGTAATAGGCTCAGAAAGTGGTGGATACAGGTGCATGGCTAGATGGGAGAACAAGCAAGCAACTGGGGTTATTGTGTGTAAGCAAACAACTGACCAGGAGATGTACGTGACTCGATGAATGAGTAAGGGAAGGACTGGGAGGGTTAAGTGACTCAGTGAGTGAGTGATGGACAGGGAAAGGTATGTGACTCGGTGAGTGAGAGGGACTGGGAAGGGTAGCTGACTTGGTGAGTGAGTGAGGGACAGGGAGATGTGGGTGCCTCGGTGAGTGAGAGGGACTGGGGAATGTAGGTGTCTCGGTGAGGGAGTGAGGGACTGGGAGATGTAGGTCCCTCGGTGAGTGAGAGGGACAGGGAGGGGGAGGTGACTTGGTGAGTGAGGGACTGGGGAATGTAGGTAACTCGGTGAGTGATTGAGGGATTGGAAGGGTAGGTGACTTGGTGAGTGAGTGAGGGACTGGGAGATGTGGGTCCCTCGGTGAGTGAGAGGGACTAGGAGGGGTAGGTGACTCGGTGAGTGAGAAACTGATTGGAGTGGGTTGGTGAGTGAGAACAACAGGCAGTGTGGGTGGGAGAGCGGATGATTGGGAAGGAAACGTTGGTAGATGAATGAGTGACGAATGGAATTTATGGTTGGATGATTTGGATTGTTCTGTAGACGTCCACCCTTTCCATCCATTCTCTGCCCATAATACTGGACCAATACCCACCAAAATTAATCCACTCTATTTCTCAGTGACCCTGTCTCTGCACCATTTTCTGATGGTCAATACTGAGGGTTTATTCATTTTCACTTTGCCTCCGAAACAAAGTAAGACCATAAAAGACCATAAGACATAGGAACCAAAATTCGGACATTCAGCCCATCAAGTCTGTTCTGCCATTCAATCGTGGCTGATACGTTTCTCAATGCCATTCTCTCACTTTCTCCCTGTAACCCTTGATCCTCTTGACAATCAAGAATCTATCTATCTCTGTCTTAAATATACTCAACGACCTGGCCTCCACAGCCTTCTGTAGCAATGAATTCCAAAGATTCACCACTCTCTCACTGGAGAGGCTTCACCTTATCTCCATTCTAAAAGGTCTTCCCTTTACTCTAAGGTGAGGACTAGAATATAAAATCCCTGCTTTTTATATTCTAGTCCTCTCGAAATAAATGCCAACATTACATTTGCCTTCCTAACTATCGACTCAACCTGCATGTTTACATTAAGAGAAACCTGGACTTGGACTCCCAAGTCCCTTTGCACTTCAGATTTCTGAATTTTCTTCCATTTAGAAAATAGTCTATGCCTCTATTCTTCCGACCTAAATGCATGACCTCACACTTTCCATCCGTTGTATTCCATCTGCCACTTCTTTACCCACTCTCTTAACCTGACTAAATCTTTCGGCAGCCTCCCCGCCTCCTCAATAATACATGACCCTCCACCTATCTTTATATCATCTGCAAACTTAGCTAGAATGTCCTCAGTTCCTTCATCTGGACCATTAATGTATAGAGTGAAAAGTTGTCGTCCCAACACTGACCCGTATATAACACCACTAGTCACTGGCTGCCGTCCTGAGAAGGACCCTTTTATCCCCACTCTCTGCTTTCTGCCAGACAGCCAATCTTAGGGGCGGCACGGTGGCTCAGTGGTTAGCACTGCTGCCTCACAGCACCAGGAACCCGGGTTCGATTCTACCCTCGGGCGACTGTCTGTGTGGAGTTTGCACATTCTCCTCGTGTCTGCGTGGGTTTGCTCCGGGTGCTCCGGTTTCCTCCCACAGTCCAAAGATATGCAGGCTAGGTGGATTGGCCATGCTAAATTGCCCATAGTATTCAGGGATGTGTAATTAGGTGGGTTATAAGGGGATGGGTCTGGGTGGGATGCTCTGAGGACTCGTGGGGCCGAAGGACCTGTTTCCACACTGTAGGGATTCTATGATTCTATGAACACCATGGGCCCTTATCTTACTCAGTAACCTCCTGTGTGGCACCTTGTCAAAGGCCTTCTGGAAGTCCAGGTAGATAACATCCATTGGCTCTCCTTGGTCTAACCTGCTCTTTACCTCCTGAAGGAGTTCTAAGAGATTTGTAAGGCGTGACCTCCCCTTGATGAAACCATTGTTGACTTTGCCCTGTTTTACCATGCACTTCCAAGTATTCAGAAATCACATCCTTCACCAGGGTCACCAAAACCTTACCAATGACTGAGGTCAGGCCAATCAGCCTGTAATTTTCTGTCTTTTGCCTTACTCCCTCCTTAAACAGGGGTTACATTAGCGATTTTCTAGTCTGGGACCCTGAGTGACTCCAGTGATTCCTGAAAGATCACCATTAATGCCTCCACTATTCTTCAGCAATCTCCTTCAGAACTCTTGGGTGTAGTCCACCTGGTCCAGGTGATTTATCCACCTTCAGACCTTTCAGTTTTTCTAGCACCTTCTCCTTGGTGATGGCCACCATACTCACCTCTGCACCCACCACCCCCCGACTCTCTTGACAATGAGAAAGTGGCGGTTTTGTTAGTTCGCTTGACTGCCTGGCACTTTTGAATAGTAATTTGTGTTAATTACTGATTTAAATGATAAGTTTCTATTTTGAAATTGACTTCCTCCACCACTTCCAAAATACATGTATATTGTTGTGGCAAACCTTATCATTTTGAGATTTGCTGACCGGATCCAAACCCAAGTGACAGAGAAAGTGAAATGCGACACCCACGTATGGGAAAGGTTAGACAATCCGAGGGTAACACACCAAGCTGACAGTAAGTAGGAGCAAAGAGTGGCAGTGCAATAGCCCACCAGGTTGACTGTATGAAATTAAATGAAAAATAAAAGAAAGAATCGATTCCCTAAAACATTGCTGACCCTCCTGGTGCCCCAAATGGTATGTAAATCAGTATTGTATGCGCAAGAGAGGTCTTTGGCTTTTTGCAAAATGTCAAATTCCAATGCTTGCTTCCTTGATATGCTACTGTACTGAACAGAACGGTTTTTTTGTCTACGTATATTTACAAAGTTTTTTTTCATGAATAAAGTATATTTTTGAAATTAAAAAAATTGCTGATGATAGCGTCCATTCAGACCATCTCCCCTACTGCCTGCTTGCTTTCTTTCAATCAGAATGGTGGCAGATCCTCCCACTGACACCTATGTCAGAGGCAGCAAAGTTGTCTCTTCTTGTACCAGCTTTTCAGTTGTATGGCAGCTTTTAAGGCAGTATGTGTGGATTGGTCTCTGTCCTATTCTGTGAGGCAGCTTAAAACAGTGTCCATGACAGCAGAAAGAATTTGCTGGCATAACCAAGAGGGAGAATTATTTGTGAGCATGCGAGCAAGTTTTGAGAGTGTTCAAGCAGAACAAGATGCAATGAAGTATTTTATTCTGTTTGAGAAGAGAACCACAGAACTGACAGTGTTTGTTGTTCAAGTAGAATAATACAAGGGTGTGTGACATGAGGGAGATTCTTCCACTGCCAATCCTAATTAGGTCATGCATAGCAGACAAGTCCTGGGAATAATTTTTAGAGGATTTTACAACTTCTGAAGTCTTTGTCTATTGCTGCAAAAAACATTTGTCCGGTCATGTGCCAACCATTGGAAGAAAATGAACATTGCTCTTCGAGCTATGAGTAACTGAATTGTAGCAAATGTGATGCAATGGTTTAAGTCAATTTTCTGAAAATCCTGAGCATGAATATCCATTGGACACCACAGAAAAGTATACCTACCTTTTAATTCTCCAGGTTGCCTTGAATAAATGGCAAACTTAAAACTTTCAGTTTTCTCCAACTGGAGAATTGTTCATTGGAGAAGATGAATTGCATGATAAGCCCGACTGCAGTTAAATTAGACAGGGCTATGGAAGCATCAAGGATCTGCACCAATTGGAACAGGTTGGTGCACAGGCACCATTTACTATCTGGCTAGTATATGCTACGTCTTGAAATCGTCTTCAAGCAGTGTCACGTAACGAAATCTGAACCTATGCAACAAAACACCATTGTAAATCAAAGGTTAAATGTTTACATTTAATTTTATTTATCAAAAGCCAGAAAACATATATAATTATCTGTGAATTCACACATTTCTGATACGCTTTCTTAATGCTGCCATTTAGTGCTTACATGTAATGGAAGATAACCATCTATGTTCAAAGTTCTCCACTATTTTATAATTAATCTGTGATACAGTTTCTCCAGCTTTTAAAATGAGATAACCTGCAAGCTTCCCTTTCTTTCCCTGCACGAGTAAAACTGGCAAGAGCAAACCCTTCATAGATTGCAGTTTCAGCTGTTTTATGGGTTGTGGCTTGAAGCCAATTTTGGGATAGTTCGGAAGTAGTTGGATGTTCAACTATTGCGACATCCAGCTATTATACGATTGCAAAATCATGTTTGGTGAATTCAATTGACTGTTATCAGATTTGTGCACATTAGGAACAACTCACATTGTCAATGTCCATTAAGTTAATCTGTATTGAAATCGGAAAATAAACCTTGCAGCCATGCCCTCATTTGTTCTCAATATCGTCTTTCCCTGATGGAAGAAATTTAGTACAGCAACTATTTGGTGTACAAGGAATGTTGAAATGGAAAGAATTGAGACCATCATCAGAAAAAAAGAAGTCTGGAGTCCAAATTTTACCTTCCAAATTTTATTTGGAACAAAGTTCATTGTAAGTAAGTTACTTGATCTATCATTGGGGAAAGCAACCTACTTTGTGATCATTCAGACTTTTGGGTGTAACAATCAGAAAGGTTGAACAGGATTTTCAAGTCATGGTTGATTTAGTGTTGGCAAAATGGATGTTGTGTCATCTGAATTTAGCCTGGTGATAGTTATTTTAATCAACTTGTTGGGTCATGTTATTGACACAGGGAGGACTTGAAAGTAACTGGAACTTCTGGCCCAGAGGCTGGATGTCACCATGACATTGCCTGGCGATATTATGTGCCTGATGGCTCCGGAAAATATGCTTAATATTATGTTGAATCAGGTGTGTTTTGGTCATCCAGTGTGCTTGTGCAAAAGCATGATCTGCTATTAACTATGAAGGAGGGTATCGTGATTACTCAAGCAACTTTATGCTATTTTCTATCTCAGTAGGTTACCAGATTGACCCAATTTAAAATGAGTTTACGGATCTGGGTTTCAAGTGACTGGAAGGATCAACTCCAGTGTTTAAGTATTTAAATATTTATAGTATTTAACTGTTTGGTTGTTTGACACTGATGGTGCTTTTTTAAAAAAAATGTTCTTGATTGCATTGTTAACTGTAGCTTGTACTTTGGTCAAATTAGGCAATTGTATAAAACTGGCAATGACACCCACTGTGTCTCTATTGATTAAACATTCGTGAAAATGAACTGCAGTGGTTGCAGGATAGGTTCAAGGCCATTAATTAAAGACAAACAGTGCAAGGAAGGCTGGGAAGTCAGAGGAGTTCGAGGCGAGCTGCTGCTGCTATTGAGAGAATGGGAACTGCATTCAGAGAAGAAATTGAGATGTAAGATTTCAGGAATGTGGTGGGACCACAGGAACTTGGTGAAGTGGGCAAGCAGGTAGTAGATGAAGTTCAATGCAAGAAATGTGAAGTGATGCTTTTTGGTCCAAAGAATACAGAAAGTTCATATAAAATCAAAGATATTATTCCAAAGGTTGTGCACAAGCAATGGGCCGGAGATGTGTGTATGCGTAAGTTTTTAAAGGTGGCAACACAGGTACAGAGAGCTGTTTATAAAGTGTAGGGTATTCTAGGCTTTTTTAATAGAGGCATGGGGTATAAAAGCAGGGAAGTTATCTTGAACATATAAAGATTACTAGTTAGACATCAGCTGGAGTACTGTGTACATTTCTGCACACTACGTCTTAGGAAGGATGTGAATACATTGGAGAGAGCGAAGAAAAAGAATCCTAAGATTGATTCCAGGGATGAGAAACTTCAATTGTTAAAGTAGATTAGCAAAGTTGGATCATTTTTGGTCAGACAGGAGAAGGTTAAGAGGAGATTTGAAAGAAGTTTATAAAATCATAATGGGCCTGGACAGAGTAAATGGAGAGAAATTTTTCCCACCTGCAAAAGGATCAAGATGAAAATGTGAGGTAAGACAAAGCTTTTTCACACAGTGAGTAGTTAGCATATGGAATGCACTATCTAGAATTGTGGTGGTAGGTTCAAATCAGGCATTTAAGATGGCTTTCATTTCTATTTTTGATTTGATTTATTATTGTCACATGTACCGAGATACGGCGGAAAGTATTGTGTTGAGTGCCAACCAGACAAATCGTACCGTACTTATGTACATCAGGATAATGGAACAGGATGCAGAATATAGTGTTACAGCTACAGAGAAAGTGCAGAGAAAGATCAACTCTAATATATGAGAGGTCTGTTCATAAGTCTGATAACAGCAGGGAAGAAGCTGTTGTTAAATATTTTGATCCATGTTTTCAAAGTTTTGCATCTTCTACCCACAATGGAAGAGGTTGGAAGAGAGTAAGACCAGGGTGGGGGGAGTCTTTAATCATGTTGGCTGCTTTCCCAAGGCAGCAGGAAGAGTAACAGAGTCAATGGAAGGATGGTGACTTGTTGCGATGGACTGGGCTGCATTCATAACTCTCTGTAATTTCTTGTGGCCTTGGGCTGACCAGTTCCCAACCAAGCTGTGATGCATCTGGATAGGATGCTTTCTATGGTGCATCTATAAAAATTGGTAAGAGTCATTGCGGACATACTGAATTTCCTTAGCCTTCTGAGGAAATAGAGGTATTTGTGTGCTTTTCTGACTGTAGCATTGACGTGACGGACCAGGATAGGTCGTTGGTGATATTTACTCCTAGAAAATTGAAACTCTTGACCACCCACCTCCATCTCAGCACCATTGATACAGACATGAGCATGATCTCTACTCCACTTTCTGAAGTCAGTGACCAGCTCCTTTGCTTTGCTGACACTGAGGGAGAGATTGCTGTCTTCCCACTATGCCACTAAGCTACCTATCTCCTTCCTGTACTCTGTCTTGTCATCGTTTGAGATTTGACCCACAATGGTGGTGTTGTCAGCAAATTTTTAAATGGAGTTAGAGCTGAATTTGGCCACAGTGTCGTGAGTGTATAAGGAGTCTAGTAAGGGGCTGAAAACAAAACCTTGTAGGCTACAAATGTTGAGGATTATTGTGGAGGAGGTGTAATCGCGAATTCTTACTGATTGCGGTCTGCAGGCCAGGAATTTAAGGATCCATTTGCAAAGGTGGGAGTAGAGTCCTAGGTCTCGGAGGTTGGAGATGAGATTGTTTGGAATATAGTGTGGAAGGCGGAATAATCAATTGATTTGAATAATCAACGTTCAGAGGTAGGGGAAGAAGTCAGGAAATTGACAATAAATCAAAGACAGTCAGTGCAGACCTGAATGGCCTCCTTCTCCATTATATCAATTCTGTGACACCATGAGACTTTGCTGGACTAGTTATTGGAAAATACCACATGTTCCTATTGCATGATGGAAAAACAAAATGGCTAGCTTCACTCATGCACACATGGCACCATTTATCTTTTGTTCTTGTGTGATAGAGTGCCCAGCAGTTACTCCCTGTGAGTGACTGGGTGGGTGAGTAAGAAACTGGTAAATGTGGGTGAGTGAGCAATTGGCTAGTAGGTGGTGGGTAGCTTTGTGGGCGGATGAGTAGTGGGTGAGGGGGTGACTAGGAGTGCTGTGGGATAGGAGTTTGGAGAAAACAAACCTACCAGACTTTCAGCTAAACTCCTGGAAATCCTTGGGTAATGCCGAACGGGCAGAGATTTGAACCTCCTGGCTTTGCGCTTAGAAAAGGCACAAGTTGTTGAAGCAAAGGTCTGGGTGATATTTCTTGTAATATATTATAACATTCTGGATTGATTTTACAATTGTCTGCTCCTAACATATGCAAAGTAAAGCCTAAAGTAAATATTTTCTTTTTAGATAAAAAATCCACGATGGAAAATAGTGAAGAAACGGTGAAGTACTTTCAACACAATGGCATCATATTCTGTTCAGGGATACACTCAGTTGAGCAACTTGAATGGCTGAAAGATTTCAACATAGATCCAGATATTCCACTCCTCATCACTTACCCCAAATCTGGTCAGAACTGTCATGATTTAATATTGTTGTGTCCGGAGTTGCCGAACATCTACTTCAAAAGAATGTTTAACATGTATTTACATGTATTTAATCTTCACTTCTCTTGGTGAGCCACTCCCTGTGAGGGTTGAACCCATGAACACAGGTGACCTGTGAATCTGTGGTAAAAGTACATTCATACTCTTTACATGTCAGTATCTGATGAAGACTGAATTCTGTTATGCCTGGGCTTGGTTGGTATGCACAATGCCTCATTTCAAATGGAGTTATAGAAAGTAGCAGAAATCAGTCTCTGCTGATCACACTTTCAGGACCAATAGTGTCTTTGTTGGCTTACATAACCAATGCTAGTCCATGATGAAGAACATCATAAAAGTGTCATGCAATTATTATAATAAGAGAAAGAAGCTAACAACAGAATTATGGAATGATTTCATCCTCGGAGGCCCAACAAGCCTATGCGAGCTCGCTCCAACAGCAATTCACCAAGTCTCATTCCCTATCTCTTTCCAGTAACGATATGGATCTTTTTAGATAATGATCCAGTTCTCTTTTTGAAATCCTCAAATATGTCATGGTTAATAAAAAACGCAAACAAATATAAAGAATCTCTTTAACAGCGGAATTTTCTCGGCATTGGTCTCCTTCACGATTGGAGAAACTGAGAGACAAGGCATAGGATTTACAGATGTGTTGGCCCAGTGTCTGACAGAATGGGCTGATCTGTCCAGTTGCCAGCTGACCCCGCACCCCCCACCCCCCACCCCGCAAGCATGTCATAGCATTTTCCATTCTCTCTGCTACTGGATGTCCAAGATGCATGTATAGTATTACCAACTTCTCTCATCTAAGTACTGTGCTCTTGCCCTATCTCCAGGCACTTTGCCGGCTTTATAAATAGAAACCTCAGCCTTAGGCCAGGAACTTATTGCCCCATGCCACTTTGAAGTCTTATAGTGATCCAAGGACCTGTCTACCATCTGAAGCTTTAAATGGAGAACTGATAATGATAGCAAGGAAATATCTGTAGTACTATAACAAAAAAAAATGGGCTCCGAGGTGATGTTTCTGGAGAAACTACCTCATTGTAGAATGCGATTATGATTTAATGTGGATTAATATATAGTCATTCCACTTAATTAACGATACTTGAAATATAAATGGAAACCTTAATCTCATATGATGATGCTAGGAGCCAGTGTTTGCTCAGAATGTAAATTATTAAATTTACCTAAACAGGCATTTGCTGATGACATTACATTTTAGCATCGACCCTTAAAAACAGCCGTGGAAAGAATTTTAAACATAGAAACATAGAAGATGGGAGCAGGAGGAGGCTATTCGGCCCTTCGAGGCTGCTCCACCATTCTTCACGAACATGGCTGATCGCCCAACTCAATAGCCTAATCCTGCTTTCTCCCCATAACTTTTGATCCTGTTCGCCCCAAGTGTTATATCTAGTCACCTCATGAATAATTCAATGTTTTGACATCAACTGCTTCCTGTGGTAATGGATTCCACAGGCTGAAATGTCTCCTCATCTCCGTCCTAAATGGTCTACCCCGAATCCTCATACTGTGACCGATGGATCTGGACAAACCCACCATTGGAAATGTCCTCCCTGCATCTACTCTGTCTAGTCCTGTTAGAATTTTATAAGTCTCTGAGATTCCCCACCCCCTCGTTTGTCTGAAAATTTGAATAAGACTGACTATTTTGTTCAAGCATTTTGAATATCTTTTGCATTTCAATTATTTCAAAATGGTTCCTGACAGTCTCAGAACAATGACATTTCCTCATGTATTCTGATTCTCCTGTTTTGAGTGCATGCATATCCCCTGACAGAAAGAATGGAACAGTCTCCTCGTGAATACAAGAGTTGCTATTTATTTGATGACATTGCTGTTATAATAAGCTTACAAACCTTATGATTAAAGTCACAAAGAAATTGCATGATGAACATCCCACACCAGGATAGGGAAGGTCGGGCACTTTTTTCCACCTGTTTTTCTGTTAATTAATTAATTATTTGTGTCCCCCTCATTCAGGAACTACTTGGATGCAGCAGATCATAAGTCTGATTTTATGTAATGACAGTGATTCCACAAAAGAGATGAATCTCTATCATAGAGCCCCATGGATAGAGAGTACTCGATTCAAGCCTGAAAACACAGACTATCAGCTATTGACAACACACTTAAACTACCAAATGGTGCCAAATTGTGTGAAAAACAAAATGCACAAGGTTTGTTTTAAACCAACTCTAAATATAATTGCAATACAATAAGTTCTTTGGTACATTGAAATTGTACTTACCTGTATCTGTATCAATCTATTTTTCAGATTAAGTTCAAATGTACAGAAAATAAGCTCTAACCATATAGTACCTCTAATTTCTAGCAGCATATTAGTTATATCTCTTTCAATAATGTGATATATTTTCTGTGATACTGATAATGTGATACTATTCCTGGCTCTACCTCTGTGAACCTGGTTTGGATCTCATTCACAAGTACATTGAAGGCACTTGGCTGAATCATCATCTGTATGTCGGAGGAAATTGGGGACAAAATGCTGCTTTTGACTTTTGTTCACTGGTATAGCACCAGTCACCACCCTTTCAACTGGCCACAAGTTGTTTTCATGCTGCAGGTAGTCTTGCGGTGAACGATATCAGTATTTGTGTTATATCTATACTGGACCTTGAATTGAAACTGAATGGGTTCAGTGGCCCATTTGGAATTGTCAGCAACCAGCAGGCAGAAAGTCTGAGTCTCCTTAAACACTGGTGTTCCATCTCGTGTAAAATCTTAATTTGCTGCCACAGTATGCCCCATGTTGAGGGTTTCATCTCCTGCAACATAGTGCTTTGTCTTCATTCCTTTTGTTCCACTCAGAGGTGTGAAGTTAAAGAGAAGCCATTTGTTGCCCTTGCTAAAGTAGAGCCTCCTAAACAGCTGCCATGCTGATGACAAGGCTGTCAGCTGGAAAGTGCAGGCTCAAGGCAAAACAGCTCAAATGACCTCCCAAGGTTTGGACATCACCTCTCAAAGAGTGATGACACACTCTAAGAACAAGTCTGGTGAGCAAAGCTATTTCACTTAAGTAAGGAAGCAATATCATATGTGAGTATTTAAAGCCTTTCTTGCCTGTCAATTGCTCAGCCCTGTTAATTCCCATTGTCTTACCTGGGACTTTCCAGGTGGTCCACGAAACCTGTGCACACGGAGCTAAAGACCAAATCCAGGATTAGAACTCCATTTAATTGCATATTAACATGTTAAAATATCATATCTGCTTGATTCTTGGCCACATTAACAAAGATGTTTTGGATAAATGCAAAGGTCTACGAGTTTTTGCCTGTTTCTTGACATGCCACAGATTTCTGTGCGTTTTAATCAGCAGTCCGCACAAACAGTCATCTATATTAGGTGGCTAATATTGTCTCCAATGATTTGGTATGCAGTTAGTTTTCAAATCTATCAAATTTGCTGATAAAACCAAATTATCTGGTCCAAAATCCTGCCTAACAGGCCCTGGATGTATCAATATCACAAAGACTTTAACTGGTTCAAGAATACAGTTCACCATGGATATTAGAGACAGGCAGAAAATGTACACATCCAAAGAGAGGAAAAGAAAATGGAATTGAATGACCATCTAAGAAATCATGTAATAAATTGGACAAAGTATTTGAAGAAGCAGAAAAAAGCTGTAAAGTTGGTAATGCTTTATGTAGAGACCTAAGTTAGGAGGGAAGAGTGGAGGCACTATTTTTAGACTGGAAAAAAATGTTCTTTTTACACGTTTAACTTACAAATGAATGTTATAAAGTGAAAGAACTGGAGGTGGTAAATTTCAAAAGTTACTTTAAACTAAATTGGGAATAGAATAAGCAGTCACAAGTTTAAAATACAGAATGATAAATTTAGGACTGATCATTAGGAAATGTTTTTCACACACAGTCACTAAAAAGGAAACAAGACTGGTAATCACTTGGGTGCTGTGTGTCTCTTTCTGGCTGAAAGAATTAAAATGTCCTTCTTAATCTATATGTTATGATCTTGGAAATGGGTTCAGTGTCACTTTTGTACTTTCAAAGGCCTATAATCCTCTACACAAAATGATCATTCTGCAATACAGGGTATTATTTATACATTCTGTCAAGAGACAAATAAGATGTGAAAAAGCATAGAAGAATTGAATCAGAATAACAGGAACGAAACAAGCAAGGAGAAAACAAGTGCACTAAACCTAATTAAAAGTTGAAAGACCTGTGGATGCTGTAAATCAGAAACAAAAACAGAAATTGCTGGAAAAGCTTGGCAGGTCTGGCAGCATTCGTGGAGAGAAATCAGAGTTAACACTTCGGGTCCAGTTCTGAGGAAGGGTCACTCAACCCGAAAGGTTAACTGTATTTCCCTCCACAGATGCTGTCAGACCTGCTGAGCTTTTCCAGCAATTTCTGTTTTTGCACTAAACCTAATTGTTTGTGTGGATTATTGCCCAGTAGAGACAAAACTAAATGAGCAGCAGCTGACAACTGATTTGTCTGTTCCTGTATTTGTTTCCAAACCTAGATTATTTATGTTGCCAGAAATCCCAAGGATGTGATTGTGTCATCATACTACTTTCACAAATATAGCCGTTTCTTGAAGGAACCGAAGGATTTTCAGGAATTTTTGGAGCAATTTGTTGAAGGAAATGGTATGGTTTTTTGCTAAAGTTTTGTTTGGTTCTTATTAAATGTATCATGCTATTACTTTGTTTTAAATTGTTTAAGAATCCTTAGGCTCGAAATTCAGCTCCAGAAGCCAAAACCTTCAAAGTGATGAAAGCAGCACTTTTAGCTACTCTTGATGAGGTCACACTCATCTCTGTATACAGGAATGAACATGTGTGCATGCAGAGAGGCCTCCCAGCTTGTCCTATCATGACATCAAACAGCTGTTCCAGCCTTCCACTCCATATTTGTTGAAATGGTCCATTTTCCATAAAGTTCAGTATAGGTTTAA